GTGCCCGCGCTAAATTAGTGCCCGCGCTCCAGCCAGTTACTGTTGGCTTACGAGAGGCAGAGCTCGTCCTTGCCTCACTTCTCATCGCTACCCGTAGTTGTAGCGGAGCTCGGCAAATTTGCTGATTTTGACTATAAAAAGCGATTGGAATCATACATAAATCACATTTACAACACAGATCAGTGGAGACATTTTATTATTATTACTATTTAGTTTTTCTTTAGATGTTTTTCCGTTACATTGGAGTATGACAGGTGAGGCTCTGCCTCCCCTGACTGCACGTCGCTGCTCAGTGATTAAGTGAATAATAACGTTTCGATCAGGTTACTTACTATCAGCCTGTCACTCATTATTTTCAGGGAGGGGGCGGGGTTTGGAGGAACGGAGAGGAGACGGTGATCGCGGAAGCTTTTTTCCTCTTGCCTTCACAAACTTTACACACGTATATATCGTCTGAAAATTGCTAGAGAACATTCATACTTTGCAATCCAAGACTTAATTAAATCCACCAAAAACCTGACATGATTGTAACGCGATTATTTTTGAAAAACATAAACATAAATCCCTGGCCAACTTGGGGCCCCAAGCGACATTGTGAGATGAGGCCCCCCCCCCTGCAACCGACAGGAGTGAAACACATTTTTTTGGAAACAAAGTAGGCTACTTTGCAATTATAATTCTAGTTTATTATTAGTATCAACACAGTTACTTTGTATACAGTGAGGTAAATGGTAAATGTGCAGGTACGTCTGTATTTCCTGCCAAATACTAGCCTCAAAAAGATTAAAATATAATGAATGCAAATAAACTACTTCTACTAATAATAATCATAATCAATTCAATACTATATTATTTTATTATAATATAGTCAAGACAAAACATGCTTATGACATGCTCTGAAACTGATATTTCTTAAATCTGTATTCAAATGTAGTTCCCTCTGTCAGCAATGTATCAACAACTACACACACATTTCTCTCAGTATTTCTCTGTGTTGTGGTTGACATGATGATGACTGTTAGGAGTTAAGGGGAGAGGCTGAGCGTCACCATGAAATGTGCAAATTGACATAAAAATGAATAAAAGGGGGGAAAATGCTCCATGTTTTTTAAGCTGTAAACTTTAACTGTTATGTAAGCCAACTAGACAGACAGTGTATCACTCTTCCTCCTGTACATTAGCAGATAAAAGGCATAACATAATGAATGTTAAATAAAGAATGCTGGAAATAACTGCATCTCCATTAGCCTATATGCTATGCAGAGACTGCCTTCTTCATGTCGTGAATTGCAGCTGATGTTTTAATATGGCAATTGGCAATTTGACTTATACAACATTCGCAAGTTGTACATTTGACTCATACAATAATTTCACCGACATCTCTTCACCTGCACTAGTGGCCGTATCAAAGCCGTGATTGGTCAGATGTCGATTCATTGCAACGGTGTCGGGTTACAGACGTGCTCCCCTTCTCACCTCTCACTCTCGCGGGGGGTGAGCGGAGAACTGAGCGGAGAACTGCGCACAGCAGCTGAGGCCCTGTGGGCGGGGCCCCCTGCGCAAGGCGGGGCCCCATGCAGCCTGCGTGATTGGCCTGTAGGGAGGGGCGGCCCTGTCCCTGTGTCTCTGAGCCCCAGCTACACGGAGCGGGTCCTTCTGCTGTTGGTTCTGGACTGGTGGTGTTGTGTTGGTGGATAAAGCAGACTGCTCCGTGTTTGGTGTTGCTGTGCCGCTGTCACGTCTGTTCCCTGATCTCTGCATCACCGACCGATTTGATATTAAAGTGACAGAAAAAAAAAACGTTATAGTAAAGCCGCGGCCGGAAAATCAGGAAGCAACGTTACTACGCTATAACCGATTATCTTCCGTCACTGCATCGATACCGAATCGTCCACGTCCGCATCGCAATGCGTCGTAGAAACGATTATTTTCAACACTCCTATTATGAATTGAATGACACTTAACTCTTCATGTGTAAAGACTGAGTAATCTTCATGTCAGTTTTCATAAAATTGCAAGTAAGGACATTGTTATGCCGGCCTTATTCACAGCTCATTAAATAAAGTGTTTCAGGTCAAATCCATTTGAGATTGGAAAACTAGACGGATGGGGAACAGTTATAATTGATAACTTGGGTGGCAAAAGGCACTAAGTGACACATGAAGGGACATCATCGCTGACCTGTTTATTCATGACATGAGCAGCTACGGTGTGATGGGACTTTGCAGCTCTTTACTTAGCATAATAATATCTTAGTGATACTAAATGGCTTATGAAACAAGGAGAATGACTCATAATATATATAATAAGACACAGAAAAATATGACATTTACTTATTAACCAAAAAGCCAAGGGAAGCTTGTGAAAAACATAACAGAAAAAACAAAGCCTCATTTTTTGTGTTAGCTCCATGATGGAAAGCCTTTTGTATAATAAACCAAATATTTAAACACCGTAGTGTCATTGACGAATAATGTATTTTTCTTCCCTTTCTTTCTGAAGAACACCTGCTCTGAGACCTCCATTATCTGGATGGTGCCATTTCCAAACTGCACACTGTTATCAGGGTACTTAGAGGTAATGGGCACTCAGAGACAGAAGCTTGGGATAAAAGGTACAAAGAAAACTTAAGGAGAAAAATTGAAATAAAACTTAAAACCATCCAACTGTTACCAACTAAAGTTTAAGGTATAAAATGAATTTTAAACATGCAGCAACATTTAGATATCAAACGTTTGTCTTATTTAGTCACAAAGAGAAATTATATTCTATAATTATATTCGATTCGATTCTATTAATATTCAGTATTGGCCTGAGGTCTGCGTATATGTGTACATGTTTTTAATGTTGAAAGAACTACATTTTGTCAAAGTGTCAAATCGGAAATTACATGTATATATTCAAAATTCGAAATGCTTAGGTTAAGCCCTCCACCCAGTCTGCTCTGATTGGTCAGAGTTTCCCGGTACTCCCGAGGTGTGCTTTTTGCATCTCAGCCTCATCGTTGGAGCAAGAGAATGACTGACAGCACTGTAGCAGCACTTTCTACCCAAATAGTGTATAGTTGTCACAACTTGACTTTACAGGAGCTAAGAAGGCTCATTTGAATGCACAGTTTCTCAAAAGTGGTTGGGTATTTCACCACATTGATATTTTCACAATATTTACAAAGCACCTAGAACTGCTTTTATAATAAAGAAAACGATCATTATTGTCACTTTTAACAACTGTTTCACTTGTTTATGTCATATGCCTGTTTATTTTCTTTTACAATAATGGCCCACTTTTATAATAATATATTTGTAGGATGAGCAGCACAGCTGATTATATTCATGGTTCTAAAGGAAAATGTGCCAAATGTACAATTGTCCGTGCTCAATAGACCAACATCTTTCAGTAACAAGGAATAAACAAGGCATGTTGGCAGTTTTAATATTTATTCATTAAACATTCAACAGTAAGGTGCTTCAGTATCCACAACATCCTGACACCACGTCTTCCTCATGCTGCAGGTTGTGTTGGTAACTCGAGCACGTACAACACACCAAAGCGGATCCCACAAGGTTTTAAATTGGGTTGAGGTCTTGGCTGTTGACAGTCCATTCCAATCTCTGCTACATTCTGGAGGTAGTCTGTGATAACCCTAGTTATGTAGGGGCAAGTGTTGTCATCTTGGAGTATGGAGTCAGGTCTCAGATTGTGGAGACATGGGATGGCCACTGGCTGCAGAATCTCTGCCTTCAATGGGTCAGGCCTTGTTTAGCCAGTGATAGAGATACCCCACATCATGACACTGCCCCCACCAAAACCATTCTCCACAATGTCTCTATACTTTGACCCTTCTATCCATCTTCCGCAGAGAGAACCTGGACTCATCATGACATTCCTCTATATGTTCAAGTTTCAATTCAGTGTTGCCAACGACTGGGCCTGACCTGAAGCTGATTGGCGCCTGAATCAATACCAACAGGACGATACACTTTGGAATTGTAGCCCATTTATCTGGGACACACCCATGTTATCATTACAAATATGACAACCATGTAAAGAGAACCTGTCAGAAATGTATTTTCATTGATATGCACCATAGTGGTCACATAAAGCAGAAATATGATCGACCAAACAGAAATGTCCCCCCAAAAAGTAGTTTTGACAGGTTCATATCTATACAGCTGTGTTATCTGTTAGTGAAGATTAACCAAAAAAAAGTCCTGAAAATTAAAAATGTAATAAAAAAATGTGCCTTGGGTAAAAATGTGGATCTTTCAATATTTACACTAACTGTGTATTAGATTTGTTTCTGTCGGTTAAACATAACGGGGAGACATTGTTTCAAAATCAATCAATTTTTCATTAAGACACAGTGTTGAAACAGGTAGACACACAGCGTTTTCTGTGCATGTTCTTGCACAATCTAATTAATCGTTTTTACTGTACTGCAACCGTGCACACTGTCTTTGTAAATTGAAGTTGGTGGTGGTAAAGGCTTCCGATGCTCATGCCATTCAGTGAAGTGATTTCAAGTTGATTGCTACCTCCCAAAACACATCATGTCACCACCTCAGCTTTCTCATTTCCCCTCAGACCCTCTTCCTCCTTCCTCCACTTTTCTATCTCGTCCTCTGGACACTTCAGGCCTTCTCCATCTTCTGCTCCCGTTTTTAGAGGCACTCTGAGCGTCATCTTACAACCCCACCCCCCCTCCTATCGCACTTCAGTCCTAATTTTCAGCAACACATCGAGTCCTGTGAGCCATTAGTCTGCACCCCCCGCGTGCCCCGCTCTTCTCAACCTCTTCGCCTTCGCTGTCGCTCATCTCCTCCATCACCGCCCCCCACACCACCCCCGTCCTTTTTCTCCTTGGCAGTTTGGCAGTTCACTCCAAAGGTTCTTCATTCACCCACCTGCAGGGGCTATCCACTCATTAAATACCCCCACCCAACCTTCCCATCTTCTCCTCTTCTCCCCTGATATATTCTCTCTCCCCTGTCTCTCTCTAGGACACTTCCTCAATGGCAGCTACTGCTCTTTTGAAGAGGGCGAGTGCAGTTGGCAGTCAATAACGGGCCGGGGTCTCTCCTGGAGAAGACAGCAGACACCATCCAAGGCTTTGAGACAGAGCTGCCTGTCATCAGGTGACACACACACGCACACACACACAGTCTTATACAGATCTCAATTGTCTTCAATATAGAAAATAAGGTAATGGTGGGTTTCTACTCTTAATGCAGTCATGGATCATTAAAATCAATAATAAAATGGATTAAAAACATAATATTTCTGTCCATTTAAATAGACACAGGATCTTAATTCATTAAAAACACCTAACTTTAATTGACATTAACTAGTCTTGAGAGCTCTTTTTTCAATAAAATAAACATGAGTTTTTATGAATGGACAATTCATGTCAATGAATAAATTAGGTATGTCAAACACATTGCACATAACCTGACTAAAAGTTATATTTGTTTCATAAGGTATATTGTTTTAACTTTGAATTCAGTATTGCAAATGATGGACTACATCAATGTTGAACATAGATTAAAATTAGCCCTGCGCTTTCTCCTTGCATCACAGTCGGAAAAAGGGTTGTGGTTCTATTGCAATCCACTTTAGACGATTTGAAACACTGTGATTGGCTTAAAGATTTCCAATCAATTCCATGTGTTGACTTGGGTGGATTTAAATGACAATAATCATGGATAAAAAGTGATGTACCATCCGACATCCGGCGGGATCTAAACAGGTTAAGAAATCATTCAAGTGATGAAATCTGCATGCTCACTTTAATTGTTTATGGAGTAGTGGTGTTAATGCTTTATTAAATGGACTTCATAGTCTTTAAACCTTGATCTTACATATTTCAGTGAGTAAGGAAAGATAACCTAAATGTCTGATGTGTCAGACATGGACGTGCCGCCTTGTTCGGAGCTCAGTGTGCAGCTACAAACTCCACGGTCCCAGCGGCTCTGAAGGCTCCGGCACGTAGACTGAGTCCTACATCTGCAGTTCATCGTCAGGGCAGAGTCTCCAGCGTGTCTCTCCAGAAGACTTTAAAGTCTTGGTTTGCTGAGGCTTGTGTTTGTTCTCTTCTATTTACATAAGTCTCAGAGGTAGTGTGGGGAAACAAAAAATGGAGCACTATAATTTAAGGAATATTTGTTGATGTGAGATCGACAGTAAATTGCTGCCACAGTCACCTGAAATAACATGTTGACGTATGCTTTAATAAGCTATCACTGAACTGTGCTTTTTTCAAATATTATTCTCTAATACTTTCTATGAATGCCACATCTATTTTGCATTCATTAAAAAGGTACAGTACTATATATATATATGTAAAGCATCTATGTGTCATGACTACAAACATACATACATTATGATACACACAAAGATCAGAAAATGAGTGTGACCAAGGCCCCGACACATCTCAGAAAATTGATCAAGGGGCCCCATCATCGGCCAATATTGGTATACATTGGTATAATGTAACTTTATGAAATGTATGTACTCATTCAAAAAAAATTCCGCAAAATATATTCATTCTTCATTTCCTACCCATATACACAGATAATCGATGCTTTGTTATATATGGATGTTTTATATATACTATTGTTTATTCTGACGCAGTGTTTCTTCTTCTGCGTGTTTAATGTGTGTATTAAAGGTGCGACATTCAGTGTGGAAGGAGGCCAGTCCAAAGGCCAGCGGAGCTCAGCAGTACTGAGGAGCCCTCTCTTCCCCCCTCCTCTCAGAAACTCTAGATGCACGGTGAGCATAGTACAGAGTAGACTGAATCTTCATTACATACAAAGACCCCCCCCCCCCCCCCCCCCCCCACCTAGTAACTGTTGCTAAGTGTGTCAAGCTATCTTTACTCACGCTGCACATATGCATATTTTTAAATGATAACGTGCCATATTTTTCCCTCTGATTATTAGCACCCTGGATTCCACACAGTCAATGCTACAGTCCAGAACAGTCATTTTGACCACTACCAGAAAACTCGATACTTTATTTTGGTCTGTGTTGTCTGTCTTCTCAGCAGAGCTACGGAAGAGCTAGAGGGAGAAAAGCAACAATTTGAATCAAATGTACAAAATAAGAGAAGCCATGGCAAAAAGAATGCAGATCATTCACATACTCTATTTCTGCCACTTACTAAAAAGTTTAAGTAATTATAACCTCCACATGAAAATGAACAGTCACTTGAACCCTAATGTATTATCATAGGTAAATCACCTGCAGCTATCAATCAGATTACGAGGAACTACAACCAAAATCCAAAAGTGTAAGCTACTGAATTCAGCATTGGACATGATGAAAGGACAACAAACTAAGAATAAATTGGATAAATGATCAGAAGGTTATTGGGATCTTTGGGAAATCCTTGTCACCTTTTTTATACCTGATAAGTTTGCATCCCTGCTTCTCTGTTTCTGTAGGAGTAGAACATATAATGAATCTCTGAATAGTGTGATATGTTCATTGCCTTCAGTAACAGCTCAAACAGTAATGTGTTTCGACAGCAGGGTTACACTGTACCATCTGCATTTCCGGAAAGACAGAGGTTGACCTCGTCAATCACACATTTGTATCTGCTGACCTGGCTGTAAAATACTACAAATCATGCATAATTCACATCATGTAGCTCTGGGGCAGGTCTCTGAGGGTGGTTCAGTTCTTGACATATTAAATTGATGGTGCTCTATCTTTCATTTAAATATATGTTATTAATTCTAACATTGCAAAGCGACCTTTGGCCTTTGGCCTTGTGCATGTGTACAACTCTACATTCCGAGTTGATGTAGAGAGAAAATGGGGAGACAGAAGCAGACACAGAAGGGAAGGAAGGTAACAGGAAGGTCTAGAGGTCAGAAATGAAGATAATAATAGAGACTGAGGGTAAATAAAGTTAGTCTCGACAAGGGAAACACACTGGCTGCAGGGAAGACAGAGAGGCATAAAACAGAAGTAGAAAATAATACAAATATAGGAGTAGAAATGTACCCCTTCCTTCTGTGAATTAAAGCTGCCTGATATGTGTGGAGGCAGTGCTCCACCATCGCAGCTTCCTGGTGCAAAGCCAAAGATTAGCCATGATTCTAGATTAACACTCTAAATCCTTTTCTCTACACTAAACCGCTGCTGTTAAATCTAGCCTGTCTGCTTTTGGACAACTACATAGAGGATATCAGTGTGTTGGGTATTAGCTACAGACCATGTTCACTTTCATCTGGCGCCCGGTGTGCTCTGTGCAGTTCCTGTAATCTTGTCGTTTAAACGGTCACCATGTGGTCCAGCGGTTGACGATAAGGGAAATGACAACCTGCAAGATTTATGTTCTTGACGCCGCCGAAATGCTGCGCAGGGACATGGTCACATCCCATGCTTGTTAGCGAGCTTTAGATTCAGACTTCATTTTACTATTTTATTGAGCCCTGTGTGTGTTGTCTAACTTGAATCTGCTTTACGCTTTCCGTATCCCTCCTGGAATTAAAATAAATTAGATGTATTTGTGCTGAAGCATGCAAGAGCAGCAGAGATAGCAAAATGACACCAAATCATGATCCTGGTTGAATTTTATTAATCTTGGAATAATTAGAAAAGAACAGATGGCTTTTTCTGATTGAGCTCACATAATGCACTTGTGTAAAACATTTTTAAACGCAGTAAAGGTTGTTGAATGTGCTGTCTTTACTTCTCAGAGTGCCTTTTAAAAATCAACACTCTGAATTTATGATTACCTTGACTACATATTTCATTTATAAATGTAACTGCATTGCTCATTTGAAATTCTACCTTGCTTCCACAGATGAGATTCTGGCTGTGTTCTGGGGGCTCACAGAGGGGGTCGCTGTCGCTGTGGATCGCTGAGAACAGTACAGGCCCTGAGGAGCAGCGCAGACTGTGGCGTTCAGCCAGCGAGCCCAAATCTGAGAAGGGCTGGAAACTCATCATCCTGCCCCTTTACGGGCTGGCAGACTGGTACGACCTGTTTCAACAGCATTATATCCAGCACGACTGTCCGAATGCTTTAAACCAAGTTTAAGAGCCAACGAGTGGTTTAGCTCTCACTCCAATAGACCTCCTCACACAACTAATTAAGAGCTCCCACAAGAAATCCTTAAGAAACAGAACCAAGTAGCTATTCTTCCTTCTTATCGCCTCTCCTAAATGCAAATTCCAACATTTACAGTCCATTTTCCTGGATCATTGCCTCTCACCTCAGCAGAATGAATGAGTCCCATAGGGACTGAACAAAATGCAGCCCTCTTTTTTATTCAACTTGTCTGTGATTCAGGGAGTCCAAATCAATACAACAGGCTCTACACACACTACTTGCTTTCTAATTAGAGATGGCCCTGATTTCCCCTCAAAAAAAGGGGAAATTAAAACCAAATAAATTAAGCTAGGAGAAAGAGAAACCCCAAATAAGGCATTTCATCTCTGTGTGCCTCACTGTTGGTTTCTTTGCCATTGGAGCTTGGATAATCCTGCTCCCCCTGAGAGTGATAACATTTTTTATCTCTGGGTTATGTAGTCAGCTGTGCCTGGGCTCTTAATTAGAATGTCATGTCCGTATCCACGAGGTGAACCTGCCAGTCTTTGCGCACTGACCTTTGTAGAGCTTAAATAGAATCAGAAATACAGCCTGAAGTGCAGATAAAAGTCAGCACACGACAGACTGCTTTTGGTTTGACAGTAAGAATGGGTGTATACTGTAGCATACCATGACATTCAAGCAACATAACAGATAAAGTACTTTAAAAGTACTTTATAATTTAAAGGAATATGTTTATTCTCGTTATGGTCTGAGAGGTAGATGAGAAGATTGACACTATTCTCATGTCTGTACGCTAAATATAATGCTGGATTCAGAAGCCAGTTAACTTAGCTTAGCACTAAGACGAGAGAAAGGCGGCAATTGTGTTTTGTTCCCTTTCGTTTTTTGTGTAGCTAATTAAAAACAATTAATGAGTGAGCTTTAGAGGGGTTTCAGGATATATGCTAAGCTAACCAACAGCTGGCTACATGTTTACCTTGAGGACTTGAAAATGGTATCGATCATCTTATCGAAGAGGACCAGCAAGAAGAACCCAAATACCGACATTTTAAAAGATTTCTTTAAAGGTTTAGGCAGCGTAAGTGATATCATGCCTGTCTACATAATTCTATGCATGAAAGCATTTCATTTTCCAACATAAAAAGAGTTCCATCCCAATAGGACTCAATTTCCTCTGTCTCGGCTGAATATACAGTGAGCTGTCATAAGGCATACAATGCATACCCTCCAAAGCCAAAGCACAAAGACATTTTCCTAAAGAACTTTCATTGTTCTACACATCCTTTACGTTTGAAGTTTTCCATAATCTCAAATCTTGTGAGGAAGTATAAACCGCTCTGTCCTTCTGTAGGTTTTGGCTGCAATTCAGCACAGAAGATGGACCTGGATCGGGTTCAGCCGTGTCTATTGACAACATCTCTTTCAGTATGGACTGCTTCCTGGCATGTGAGTACATTCAAAATGTTTCTTTTGCCACTATTACTTCATCAGACATGGGTTGAATTAATGGTATTGTTTGTCTGATTGATTGACCATCACAGGCACAACAGGGGGAGCGGGATGCCTTTGAAAAATATTTACCCTTTTAATGGACTTTAGATATACTTATGAAAAAATTCAATTCAATGACAGCTATTCAAATAATAGTCGATTCAGGCCTGCCCTATGCTTATGTTTACATAGCAACTGTTTTGTACACTTTTTATCAAGGACTCACTTATCCTTTCAATTCCCTTGACATAGCCATAATACAGTACTACAACATGTATTTACAATTCACAGTTAAAACTATTAAAATACAATTGAAATGCTAGTAAGTCTGCTACGAATTAATACCTTTATTAAATGTTCTGTTTTGCATGAAGATACATCCCTCTGAGAATGAGATACATGAAATGTCAGAACAGTTCAAATATGCTATCATGTAGCATGCTGATTGATAAGGGCTTATGTTTCAATGTTGTACTGCAGCCATATAAAGGTTAAGCCTCACATCACCTTTACGAATATGTTTGTGTTATAATTGGGATGGTGTATCAGTATAAAAACAGGAGTAGGATGACAACCATGTCTGGCATCAGAAGAATGAAAGGTTAGAAGGTCGGTGCCTCTCTCCATCTCTTTGTGAGCTGCGCCTGGAATAGTAATGTTTTATCATCTGTACGTGAATAAAGTTCTGACCATGAGAACTTTGGTAAAATGAAACATAGGTAAACTGACTGGCCAAGGATTCAACTCAGCTCGGGCATGGGGTTACCCTCTGAAATAGATGGTTGGATTATAAATTTGAAATTGTCCGACACTGACGTCACTGACTTGTATCTATGCGAAGTTTGACACCAGAGAGGTTTTTTCAAATGTCTCTTTTAATAACGAGAGATGTTTGTGCACTTCCTTATTATCTCAGATTAATAAAGGTTACCCTGGGCCAGCTCGATTTGGTATGTCACACATTCTACAAAGTTTAGCTTTTTAATATGCCGACATATCTCGACATGAAAACCAAAAACTATCAGTGCCGAGAAAACTCGTCAGTAGGCTACAGACAGCGAGAGTTAGCATTAGCATAGTGAAACGTTTTCAATTAAACATGGCAACTTTTAGATGTACACCTTAGCCTGGAGTCAATTTAAATATCTTTAAAATCCTACTAGATATTATTGTATGTTTCCCAACCAGTAATACTCTGTCAGCCACTGCTAGCAACAAGCTATTAAGCTAGCAAATATAACAAAGTTGCTAGCCGCTGATTTTAGTGCACAACTGACTCCTTATGTGAGTTAGGAACCTTACTTTTAATGGTGAAAATACACCTCTCTCATGTAGCAGCTCTTCTTTGCCATTGATGCCACATTACAACCAAGCGTGAGTAGTGGGTGGGGAGAAGCCAGATTCAGAATGTTTCATGAAGCAATAAACAGTAAGCTACATGTGCCTGTAGCCCTTTAAAAGATATATATTTTGCTTACTATTTTTGTGGTAAACCCGTGTTGAACAAAATGTCAATCATAGCAGATTATTCTAATAATCTTTAAAAGCTGTCTGGAGGCGGACTTTAAAACAATGATAAAAGGTTTAAACTTTTATATCAAAATACATTGTTGAGATACAACCCAGTCTCATGGCATTTCGTGTTCACCAACACGATTTTTAATCTATTGATTCGTGTTCACCAACACGATTTTTAATCTATTGATTCGTGTTCACCAACACGATTTTCCCCTTTTTTTCGTGTTGCACAGCACGATTTTAAAAGCAATGTATTTCTACTGGTAATGACGCTCATGGAAGCACGGCATTCGTTTGTATCGGCTGCCCTTAAAGGCAATGTGAGCGTCCATTCTCATTGGATAACGGAGAATTGTACACCCGGAAGTAAGTATTCCTCTTACTGTCGATTGATTTTACAGTGATATCTGCACTACTCATCGACTAAAAAACACCAGATTATCCTTGTTAATTACACAACATTGATTGGTTTAAATTGTGTGCAATGCTTTTGTATTTTTCCCCTTCGATTTCGGAGAAACAAATATGTTTTCGTAGTAAAGGATAGCAGAAGACACTACACTACCCAGAATCCCCAGCTATCGTTTGGACTACACCATGTGCTCTGTTTGACAAACCCCGTGATAGTCCTCAAGCTCTGTGATTGGAGAGTGTGCTCCGAGGGTTACGCTGAGCCTCGAACAGCACTTGAAATGGGATGGAACCACGCAGACTGTCCAAAACTGGATTTGAACGGGTCCACCGCGTCCCCCCCTCCCCCACCCCGTCCCCAGAACTACACATGCTGGCTATTCTGTTTCGCAACATGTTCTTTATATGGCACGTCTCTACTGGGAGTTGTAGTTTTAAAAGACGTTTTCGTATTTCCCATAATAAGAAGTTGCCAGTATTAAACTGTGTACATCCCTGGAGGTTTAGGGGATAGGAAACACTCAATTTTAAAACATATAATTAATAAATGGGTGAAAATTGCTTGTGCCCATAATGGGCAGCATTAATATATATATACACACATGCCAGCTAAGGTCAGAAGAGCTTTATTTAACAGCTGGTCTTATGTTTGTGACCCCTGTTGTTAATTGATAACATTACATTAATTGATAAGCCTGAAACATGCACTTGTCAAGGTTCAGAGGCACATTTTGCAAATATGGCAGTAGCCATCGATCAGCTTAAGATAAGATATACTGTATTGATCCCAAGTTGGAACATTTGCGTTACATCAGCATGTGTAACAGTTAAATATGCAGTGGTGTTTATTTGTAAATCATTTAGTATAATCACACAAATTCTGTGTTTTATATTTAACAATTCTGTGTTCTTTATTTATTGATTGTTCAATACCTGACAAGGCCGGAGATGAAATATCTACATACATCTTATAAGAGTATAATACATTATGTATAATATCAGTTAAAATAAGTGCTTCAACATAGTTAACATTGCTGGAGGTGCGACCCAAGTTTTTCATTCAATACATAACTACACCATAGTTGTGTAGGCCTATATGATATGTCAATAAACCTTAGAAAATCTTGAAATCTTGAAAGGGATGTGCAAAATAGTCATTATATACAGTCTTTAATTAACTATTAGTAGAGAATAACGAGTAATTAATATACTTTATAGGGATCCTATTCATATCTAATAATAAAAATAATGACATTCAATAACCTGCTTTAACCACTAGGTGTCCCTTTATATCAGATGTGCACCTTTATGGTGTAAATTAAATACAACCTATCTACCAATTGGATCAAATATAAAAGTCAGCCGAATTAATGTTGATACTGCAAGGAGACGTATTGTGTGAAAAGAAATGTAAGATGTTGTTTAATGGCTGATATATTTATGATCCACGTCACGTTTTCAGTTCCTCATGTTTGTCTAGAAGTCTTCTCATCAGGGCTATATAAATACAGAACTACGGCAGATATGTAATATTTAATGCAGCCGAACCGTGTATTACAATGCCGTTATGTGATGACTTCCAAAGAGAAAAGCAAGCACACTCGGAATAAAGTTTTTTTTTTTTTTTTTTTTAATGTTTTCGGTCTGTTTCCGGTATTTGTTAATGACGATGTGCTGTGAGATGTGAGACTGGAATTGCACAAGGGAAAATAACGTAGGCTATCTTTAGATGCGGATTTTGTACGTTTGCGCTGTGGACCAACACTATACATTGACGGGGAAGGGGGTAGCAATAAAGATAACACCATTAAACAGTTACACAACATAACAGAAATAATATCGATAGCAGCGTCCCTAGCAACCACCTTGGTAACAATGAAAACTTCCTGAAGTAATCTTCGTAATAACTAGCAAACTAAAGATCATGTACATCCACTGCACACATAATCTGAAATAACAACTCATATTTCTCGCATCAAATGACATCAAAACGCATTTTAATGGCCAAACTAACTTTAAAATAGGCATTTTCCACCGAGAATAAAACAAAGTTCGGCCATGTTTTTTTTTCTGCAGGGAGAAATTTGAAGATCACGTGACATAGACGCCAGCCATTGGAATGAATGGCGTAACCCTCGGAGCACACTCTCCAATCACAGAGCTTGAGGACTATCACCGGGTTTGTCAAACAGAGCACATGGTGTAGTCCAAACGATAGCTGGGGATTCTGGGTAGTGTAGTGTCTTCTGCCAACCTTTACTCCGAAAAAATATTTGTTTCTCCGAATCGAAGGGGAAAAATACAAAAGCATTGCACACAATTTAAACCAATCAATGTTGTGTAATTAACAAGGATAATCTGGTGTTTTTTAGTCGGTGAGTAGTGCAGATATCACTGTAAAATCAATCGACAGTAAGGGGAATGCTTACTTTTGGGTGTACAATTCTCCGTTATCCAATGAGAATGGACGCTCACATTGCCTTTAAGGGCAGCCGACACAAACGAATGCCGTGCTTCCATGAGCGTCATTACCAGTAGAAATACATTGCTTTTAAAATCATGCTGTGCAACACGAAAAAAAGGGGAAAATCGTGTTGGTGAACACGAATCAATAGATTAAAAATCGTGTTGGTGAACACAAAATGCCATGAGACTGGGTTGTGAGATAGCAGTTGGTATTCAGATGTGTACTGTGCACCCACTCACACTGGAAAATGGTACTGGAACACATCGTCTACTATGCGTTCACCTTAAGATGATGTTTTTGATGAATTTATACATCCGCCACAGATATAATCTCAACCCATTTGCCCTCACAGTACATTTCAATCAGATAACATGAATTCATCAGCTGAATGTGATGTGAGTAATACTGCTGTTCTAGGCTGAAGCAGATCACACCGTTCCAGGCTTATTGGCTCACAGCCTCTTTATTTAAAGAGGTGACATTTTCCAGGAGATATTTGCACATCAATTTGTGTTTTATGTCCTTTCCTGAGTGGCAACGGCACTGCTACGGCAGCGCT